GATTAACGCAACAAAGTTACAACGTGACGATCGATTTTGTACGATTAAGTATTCCGCGCTAATTCGCAATACCATCAGCAGTTTGGGATTGGTTTCTACGGCTAACGCGGCTGTTTAACTTAGGGAATTTCAGCCAGTTGTTATTAATGTGACAATGTCTGCTTTCGTATTCTGCAATGAATATCATTCGTCTCGTTCGTATTCTCAAATGGTGCAGTGAGACAAGTGATAATCGAAAATCGTTGCGACATAAAGAGGAGGATGTATTATAATTATTAACGAAGGAAATATATTGCATTTGATCAAGAGACATAAAGTTATGTAAAATTATTTCTAACAAAATGATTGCTAATAAGACAAGAATTCAATATATTCTCACGTTAGTCCGATTTTCACGCGGAATATCTATTATTTTGAAATCACTCGTAGTGCTTAGACACGTTTCGTCATAACGAATGACAAGAACAATTCGCGCGTGATATTGATTGCGCTATGAAGTTCGCAGAAATTTCATAAACTTGTAATTTTCGGAGCCGATGTGATGCGGTTACGTTAACTCGCGTTGTCGCGGAGCTAATGCGCGAGATTTATCAGGCTCGACTAAACCACGAAAATACTACACGATTGCTAGCTTGCCAGCGTACTTTACGATCACCCGGTATAGCGCGAGGATTAGTTTGTCAACGCCGGTCGACGTGCGCGATGTGCGTGTGCATCCGCGTACACGCGTACATACATATTGCGATGGGCAAGATTAGCAATTCTCGCGTCTTCGACGGTTAGAAATATATAATTTTGTTGTCCACATTTGGATACATTGTTGACAAAGCCAGTAGCCCGGACAAACGGCTATGTTATGCGGTGGCACCGCCAATGATGAGTGGATTCGAGTTTTAAATAGATCGTAGACATCCTGAATAGAAATAAAATGTTCTTGTAGAAATATATCTTGGAGCAAAATTAAGAATTTCGAACCTGCATTTAGCGCAGGAATTGTATTATAATTATGTATCCACGAGTTATGTACTTGTATAGCTTCGACAAAGGTATAGCGCACACAATCCTTGCAATTTCAATTTAATTCTTTAAAAGAAAGTTAATTTAATAATAAATTAAATTTTTCGATATTTATACATTTTTTTCCATCTACATAGAGATAGTTTAATTATTTCATGATAAAAGTATCTCTAAATTTATAGTTGTTACATAACGTATATATTTTTGTAAAAATCTGAAAATTTTGAATTTATAATGCAACAGTGAGTTCTAAAGAGATATTGGAAGACAACTTAATAAAATGACTTTTTATTTGATTATAATACCGAGAAGAGATATGCATTAAGTTTGCCAGATAATTAGAATTACAATCGAAATGGTTATTCTTGATCGAAAACGAGCAGATAAATTTGACTGACAGTTCATTGTTGAGCACTTAATAAAGTAACGTGAACTTCCAGTGACACATTCTGAACAGTCTATCGCTTTTATCTGTTATTCGATAAGTTCTTTAAAATAGCCCTTGTATCGCAAAATTATATTACGTTTTATGGCAACAATTAATATTAAAACAGAATATTCCATAGCTAGATTTGTCAGAAAAGACTAATTTTGGATAAAAATATTTTTTGTAAGTTATACATATGTCGACTTTCTATGTATAATAGAATTACTGATCTCAGGAAAGTAGCGATAATTTAAAATATCGGATTTGCAAAACGATTTCGAATAAAAACCATAGTGACGCATTATGAATGTTTATTATTTTTCTGCTGATTCGTGTGGTATTTTTGCACATTTTGAAAAATTGTTTTAAATTTATTGAACACTGGCACGAAATCAGACACGTGAAGATCGTTTACATTTACGATAAAGATAAAATTATCAATCGAAAGTGTTTGACCGCCGGTGGGTGGACGTTCGGCGATTGGCCAAAAGCACGAATATACCCTCACGTTTTGCAATGCCGTTGAGACGATTTTACTGCTCGTATATACGCGGTATGACCGGTCAGTTCTCGTAATAGTACGACAAGTTAATGCGTTGCCTGATATGCGACGTGCCGCTCGGATTTCGATGTACCGTGGAATAACTCACTTGCGACAAATCATTTCGAGTTTAAATTACATATTTCCCAGACGTACACCCGTAGTAGCGCGGGTTTATTTCGCATTTACATCGTCCATCGATGAGAACAAAAACCGAATTTCTCGGCCATTTTCCGCGTCGCCGCTGCATCGCTTACGCGCCGCGGTTTCTCGATCGCGTTTCGCTTTATGCAAATTACCATTGCCGTCCGTCACAGATTTTTACGCGTGTCGCGCGAAAAAAGCAACTGTCAGGGGTGTGTATGTGTTTTTAATTCGCAGTCATTCTTCTTTGAAGATAACGAAATGCTGAATGTGCAAGAAGCTGATCGTAAAACTAATTACGTCTACATGTAACAAGAGGATCACGTATCAAATTTATTATTTTGCCTGGAGTTTAATTTTTTTTTATATTAAAGAGAAAAATCAATGGGCTAAGGATAGTTGACGAAGTTTTCTGAATACCGTTGAATCGGAAACTGCTCATTGATATCACTTAAATGAAACCTCTAGGAATTTGAAACGCGCCTTCGTTTAATCGGCGGGATTTCTTTTTTTTACCTTGTCGCGAGAATACGACATATCGCGCACGAACAAAAACGATTAAACAAAAAGTCCCCGAGTGCCGGCTATCGAAAACGGAACCGCGAAAGACGTCGCGTTGTGCGTCACGGTCGTCTTGGAATTTCGCTGCTCGCAGCAGAGAGACTCACTTTCTTCCAACGGTCGCACGCTACTCAATATACCGGTCGACGATAAAGTCTCTTCCGCCGCCCTGTCCCCGCCATTGGTCTTCGTGGGGCAACGCGATTCTCTTCGAAGACTCCCCGGCGATTGTAACAATATCTTTTGCGCGGAGGCACACGAAGGATGCGCGACGAACGAGAGAACCGTAAGTTCAAGAGCCGCGCTCAGGGACGTCGTCGCGCGACACACTCGCGGTAGGAAAGACATGAGACTCAACCGTCCGTCTGTCCGACAGTAAGCGAAATCTTTTTTATACCGGATAAGAGCAAGGGAGTCGAAGGGGGATACAGATAGGGAGGTACATACAGGATCCGAGGAATGAACTCGATCCGGATGAATGCGATGATTATTTTTCGAGACAACGCTTGAACGCTTCTTACATGAAAAATGGAGGTTTTTTTTTTAGAAAAAAGAAAAGAAAGAAACATTTGTCAACCGCTAATGACTCGCAAGATCGCGAACATTGAAGAAGTATGACACAGGGATCGATCATGATTAAATATAAGTACTCCTTCATAAGTCTTCCTTTTTTTCATAATAGGTGTACTGTGACATAATATCAAGTTTCCCACGAATTTCTTTAAGATGCATTTGCCTAAATCAGAGGAGTTTACCAATGTATGGAGAAAATTTCTGCTTCTCCTTACCCTCCCCCCCCCCTCTTTCTCTTTCTCTCTCTTTCACTAATGATGATCTCGCGTCAACGATCACGAGTTTCGTGAACACACTTGACGCCAGTTCCGCGCGTTGAAACGCAAATGAAGTTTACGATCTCGTACTCGAGACGTTAAGGTTTACGTGTTTGCCGATCTGAAACTCGCGCGAATTATAATAGTCAGCTAAGTGCTATCAACCGGGTCTCGAGTTCTCCGACAGAGAGCCACTCGAATCGCGTTTCTCACTCTCCTTTCCGAGCCGAGAAGCAAGTTGGTTGACCGCTTGAGATAAAGGTACGTAATATGCCCGAGACGATCTGGAATCCGTCTGATGGTCACGTTCACGCTGGTACCGTTTCGACTTTCAGATAATTCTAAAGAATGCCTACACGTGTATGATGTATTTGCGGGGGGAACTCAAATGAGAAAGAAAATCCCACGAAAGTGCTGATCGAGATTGAACTTATCACAATATCCTTAGTTAAAAATATCATAGTTACGCGAATTTAGTTTTTCTCTCACATTATTACTGTAACGCGATCATGAGTCATTTTTTTGTAAATCTCCTCGACATTAAAGATAATTTTATGAAAAAAATATTTAAATGCAGAAATATTGTTAAAGTATTCATACTATGGATTATATTATATTTTATACAATTTTGATAAAGCAAATATGCTTTTTTTAAATGCATTTATTATAAAAATCTAATCTAACTAGATATCGCATCGCGCTGATCTGCTATTTCAATATTTCTCCAATAATCCATTTATTTTATTAAATAAAATCTGAAAATAAAATCTAAAATTAAATAAAATCTAAAAAAGAAAAATTTCTGTAAATGATTTGACGTAAGAAATTGCAAATTTAAATTAAAACTTTAAAAATAAAATGCAGTTACTTATTTGCAATTTCATCATTTTATACTTTTTTAAATCGAAGTTATTTCGAATGTACCTATCGTGTCCATTGATACAATAACTATCTCTAGAGAAAATTGCTCAAGATTATTCGCGTATAGCCCCTACGTGCCAATCACCCGCGTTAACTTGGATCATCACGAAATCTCTCGAGGGGGAAAACTTTATCACAGCTGAAGATCATCACAAGTACACAATCACAAGTCGTTGACAATCACCTGATGCAACACAGTCTCTCCGCCATTCTCCGTAGTCACTCTTCGACGTCGTCTTCCCTCGGAACCGTTTCTCCGATCTTCGTGGTCGTCCGCGGAATTGTACGCGAAGAACGAAAAGAAATCCGTAGCGCGAAGCAGATGAAAGGAAATAAAGAAAATAAACTCGAAGTAAGCAGGACCGAGGAGTGCCTCTTTACTCGCGCGACTGTTCTCGAGCGTATACGGAATGGGGGCAGCGGGGAGAGCACACCTTATACCGAAGCACCACTGCACTCGCCCGATGATCCGGCGCGTGAA